TGAAGGAGTTCTGAATGATGTCATCTTGACATGGTCATGATTCTTCATGACTAGTACAAATCTTGTTTTGAAATTTGTACTGAACTTTTCATTCATTAAGGACTTAGAACTTTGTCAGGATTATTCTGTATTCAGATCTTAATGTTGTAAATTCCTCTCACATTCTCATTTTTGACTTTGATAATTAAATTCTTTGTTAAGTTTTACAAAACTTTTCAGTTTGTTTCTTTTCCGTTACTTAGTTTGCAACAAAAGAGTTGTAACAACCCTGATTATTCTATTTACCTTTTCCAACACATGTAGCCATAATTTGTATGTAGGGAAAAGGGAAAAAAGATTTTTTGATGGGTGAGAACAAATTTTTGTTTAAACAATTCTTATCTTCCTCTTGGAAGTTTAGATGTATTGGATTCAATTTCACTGCTGGACACCCTAAGTGAGATTATCAAATGACCTGGAAATGTTATTTTTCCTTCACTGTGTTCTTGTGAATTTGGCATTAATTCAAACATGATAGCACAATTAGTCTGAACTGCACATTAGGTACAAAATGATAAGGTTGTTTATTTGTGTATCACATTATACATATGTGAACTACCTCAAAGTGCAGACTGGTACTAAAGCCAGGATATGCTGTCCCATAATGCACCAGCCTGATCAGAGTACACAATTTGGATGAAATATGAATCACAATCTATCAGTGTGCATTTAGTCTGAGTCTCTGACAACCCATCACTGCCTGGTGACTTCAGATGGCCTGTTGACTTTTGAAAAGTCCAAATTTTGTGCTCCAAACATGTTAGTATTGCTTACCAACTTATATTTTGAATCATAACCAGACTAGTTATGTGCATAATTATTACTCTCTGTGTCAGGTAAGTATAACATGTTGTCTCACTCATGTAAGTAGACAATTTTTACAAACACCACTGTCATCTTCATTAAACAAATAAATAAATCTGGGACAACAATGGCTAGGGAATATATATCTGAACAGAGACTTAATAACTGAGGTTGCACATGTGTGATTTGGATTTTTAATGCAGCTTTAACATTGTTTTAGTCATATTGCTATGATGTCTGCAGTGTGGCAATTATAGTGATGTCTATCCCCCAGGCATAATGCCACAGACATGTAGCATGATGTCCCACCCTGTCACATTATCTTGACACCAGGTTGATCAGTCCTAACACTAATCTTTTAATGCTCAGCTCCAAGCAAGGCATCTGCTAGTATACCATTTTTATAAGTATTTGGTATGACTTGGCTGCAACTTCCCACATCTGAAGTAGAGCTTTAACCATTTAGGCCACCAGTGTAGCCAATAAGTGATGTTATGCATACAAATGAGTTGACATAAAAAATACTATAAAAATGTTGATATTGACCACAGCTCTAAAAAATAGGTGGGTATTTTTGGGGGAAATTTTGAATTTTTAAACCCAATGAACATTAATCTGCATGTGGAGTCCATTACCTTGAATTTAAGAAGCAGTGAAGTCCAACTGCAAACAACACAAATCCTGATTTTCCATCACATAATGTGCCAGTAGACTGGGATCTGATTTTCTGTCACATAATGTGCCAGTAGACTGGGGTCTGATTTTCCATCACATAATGTGCCAATAGACTGGGGTCTAATTTTCCATCACATAATGTGCCAATAGACTGGGGTCTGATTTTCCGTCACATAATGTGCCAGTATACTAGGGTCTGATTTTTCGTCACATAATGTGCCAGTATACTAGGGTCTGATTTTTCGTCACATAATGTGCCAGTAGACTGGGGGCTGTTTTGTTTGTTCCAGAGCTGTTTTAAGAAGCTTGGGGGCCTTAAACAAAAACTCTAATCTTAAAAGTAATCAAAATTGTGTCTCAATCTCTCAGTCTCAGATGTAGAGTATTGCATTGCATTTACATGTGGATGTGTGTCATTTTGTTAAATTTATTAAAATAGTACTAAACTACTAACACAATCAACACTGAAATTTTGTTTTTGGGCTGCTGCAGGGCTCTAGGCACATGTCTCTCGTGCCTATGCCTTAAGATGACACTAGTTTGTTCTATTGATTACTCATACTGCATAGACCCAAATCTGCTGGTGCATTATGTGATGCAGACTGGGTGCATTTTGGAGTTGGATCTTGTAAACAGCAGTTGATTTGAGGTTCTGGCAAGTGGTATTACATGTACATCTTGTTGTTTGTCTAATAACCAGGATTAATTAACACATTTGCTGCTGGCAGCAGGTGTTTCTATGGATCATCTTCTGCTAGAATGGTTGGCATTTATATCCCTTAACTTTTACTTGACAGAAATCCAATTGCCAGCAACCTGTGAATCACTGAGTAATTGCATTTAGACAGCAGTGTTTTGGTGATAGAAAAAAAATTATGTTAGACACCTATTTGTATACATTTTGCAATTTTAGATCTGTACAGTATCAAGGTAAAAGTTTCTTACTGTGTGTAAGGCAGATAGCATTATATCACTGTGTTGTCTGTGGGGCCCCAAGTGGCCAAGTGGTCTAAAGTGATGACCATTATGCTGACCATGAATGACCATTACCTATTTTGTGCTGAAAAATGGTGTTAAACCCTATAACAACAGCAACAACAACTGTGTTGTCTGCTGATTAGCTATGACCACACTTTGTGGATGACTTGCACTTGGTGTAAGGGAGAAATCGTAAATTTTGGGGTCAAAAGGTCAAAAGCTACCTTCATTGTGATTGAAAGAAGAATACTGGTCCCCACAAATTAAGATTAGTTCTACACCACAGTCTTGGTCCCCACAAATTAAGATTAGTTCTACACCACAGTCTTGGTCCCCACAAATTAAGATTAGTTCTACACCACAGTCTTGGTCCCCACAAATTAAGATTAGTTCTACACCACAGTCTTGGTCCCTGCAAATTAAGATTAGTTCTACACCACAGTCTTGAATCAAACTGCTTGGATGTTTACACTTTCAGTAAACAAGAAACCTTTTGTGTTAGAAGTCCAGTGGTCAAGGTCACTTAAGTGGTTAGTGTTCATAGAGAACTATATATATGTGCCTTTCATGAAAATTTAGTTTCTTTTTTTAAAGGAATATTTATGTTGATGAGAGAACAGATTATTTTTAAGAAGATTAGTGAACTTAATAATATAATCTCAGTCATGAATATCTAGTGCAATACTCATGTACAATCCTCAAATACCATAAACATCTGTTAATATGCTAAATTTTAAAATTATTAAAAATGCATTTATTTGGTAAAAAATGACTTTTATTTGCATCACGGATCCACCATATATTCGAAAAGGGGAACTTACTTATGTCCACATACTGTAGATGACAAGTTTACCCATTTACTTCAGCCTGTTTACTGTAGGCCCCCCATGGTGGTAGGGCATTGACATCAGATGGACTGATATCCATTTACCAACAATGCTGAAAGAAGGGACAAACAAGTTGTTAAAACATGCACCATTCTCAAGAGCCTTCACCCCTCTTTTTCCCTTTATAATATAACCATGCAAAGCTAGATCATACCCAAAATAGGTCATTGAGCAACATAGATGAAAATTTTACTAACAGTTAAAACTGAGACAGGAAAACCAAAATTGACTGTCTGCCAGATGCTATAGTATTATAACAGAGCAATTGAGGTATGTACCAGTCTTTCTTTCTTTCTTTCTTTCTTTCTTTCTTTCTTTCTTTCTTTCTTTCTTTCTTTCCAAATACTGGCCTTGTTTTAGCTATTCTTGCTCTGAATACATGCATTCTTGTCACATAAATGCATGAGACCTGCTATTCTAAACTAGGAATGAGTATTATTGACTGTCCTTACATGTTATCTTGCACTAGCCAGGAATTGGTCCCTACTACATGTACTTACCAATTAACATGGAATCATTGGTTCTCATAGTGTAAGGACCTTATTTATTGATCAGGTTTTACAGAAAATTCAGGTTACTAATGGTCAGATTTGTTAAGTATTTTTTGAACTGGACAAGAGTTTTTTATTGTCAGCATGATCATATCGACAATTAAATTTAAGTTATAATAAGCTTTCTACTAAGATTGCATCAGACACTAAATAAAGACTTGAAATGAATATAATTTGCAAGATGTACAAATATAAGATAAAACATAAATGCAACGAGAAAATAAAATCACAAACTTTAAAATATTAGCAAGCAATGCATTTGAAACAAGGTTTTATTTAAGTATAATTATTTCAATATTAATGTAGTGTCTGGTAATTAAAATAAAGGTTTGGACCTGAAAGATGCTGAACTGAAGGTCAAGTGCTAAAAGTTAGCATCAATTGTACATACTGTTAAATGTCCAAGTATCTTAAATTAAAAGAAAGTACCACTCAAGATTAAAATCATGCAAAGATGCCTTACTTGAAGAAAAAAAAAAAGAAGCGAAGTAAATAATGGGCACTTAATAGTAAGCAAGACAAAAAAAGGACAAAAAAGACAAATTGAATCTGGAAAAGATAAAAGTCAAGTTTGGTGATCTTTTGACCAGTATGTTTAATAATTGTCTTGAAGTTATTCAACAAAATTTTTTCACATATATCAAATTGCACTTTGTATATGATATCAATTCCTTGCATTTTGATCAATTTTGTTCAGTTTATAGTGGCATTTTTCTTACGTTGAGTACAAGTTGCATGTTGACAACAAATTTCATATAAATGTTGTTTAACCCACAGCAAGTGCTTGAAACTTTTTAGGATTGGATTGTATGATGTGATGTGATGTAATTATGATTATGATTTTTAACGTAGCTTTAAAAAAATTTTCAGTCATATCGCTACAACGTCTGCAGTGTGGCACTTTATAGTGATGTCTAGCACTGGGGCATCATGCCGAAGACATGTATCATGATGTCCCACCCAGTCACATTATCCTGACACCAGGCTGACCAGTCCTAACACTAACCTCTTAATGCTGAGTGTCAAGCGAGGCAGCTGTTAGTATCATTTTTGTAAGTCTTTGGTATGACCCGACTGGGGATTGAACCCACAACCTCCCGCATTCGAGGAGGACACTATAACCACTAGGCCACCAGAGTGGTTAGGTTTGATTGCATTCAGTTTAAATTGAACCATTCAGAATGTTGAACTCTTTTTAAAGTGTGTCAGTCAGAGTTTCAAAGACCACTCTGGTGCCCTAGTGGTTGGAGCTTCCACCTCATATGCAGGAGGTCATGGGTTCAATCCCCGGTCGAGTCATGTACCCATGTTTGACTTGATAATGTTTGTTGATCACATTGAACAGAACCATTTTCTTGATGTATGGTGGTTTCTTTCATCCAGGCCCATCCCTAGGGCAAGGTGAATGAGGCAACCACCTTGAGCCCCTTGCTTCTCCACAATGCCATTTTTTTGCATAAGGCCCAGTGCTCATCACCTGCTGCCTTGGGCCCCACACATCCTTAGGGCCAGGCCTGCTTTCATCCTTATTAATAAGCATTAAAGTATATTTTTAAAGACAAAAAAAAATCTTTCACACAAAACATTTATTTTAGATTGCTAATTTTCATAGTGTGATGTGATACCATTGTGATTGAAAAATCTGTTCAAAACTTGAAATGAAGAGATACAGGAAAACATGCTCATTTTATTATAACGCTCCTTTCAATATTTACCATGTATCAGCAATGCAGTTAATATCTTTAATTTCATGCTTGTTGTCTGCGACATGCAGTTGTATCAACGGTATCTCTGCCAGTCTTGGAAAAGAAAGTTTTGAGAGTTATTAGAGAAGATCTATAGATTTATTTCCATTGAACTGTTTGTTTATCAACTGCTGTCTAGACCTAAATTTCTGCCTAGATCATGTATTTTATGGTTGCTTTTGCATCTGTTCAATATCTTCAAAGTTGTTGAGGTTCAAGGATTAACTGTGTATGGTTCACATAAGTCTCTATTTCTTGTAGCACAAAGTTTTGTGTTCAAGGTCAAGGTCACTGATAAATTTAATTTTACTTTCTGCCCGAACCTTTTATTTGAATTTTTTTTCAGACATGAAATGTTCTTACTTTGTAACTCTACAGTACCATAATAAGGATCACATCCAGATTTCATAATTTTGTACATTTTATTTACCCTATCACAGGAGGTAGGAGACAGAATTTCACTGGATTTGTTTGTCAAAACTATTCAAAAGAAGAAAAATGATATACATACTTTTTTTTCCTTTCATTACTATCTTGAAAAATGAATCTCAATTTTTTGTAAACTCAACAAGGATTGTGCATTTTTGTTTCATATGAATTGTAATGCATTCATTTTTATTTACTCTGATATAAAATATCACGTTTGCCAAAATATAGAACGTGGTAATATTTTATCAGTTTTGTGTTGCATGGCACAATATCTTTTATATTATATCCTATATAAATATGTATCATTTATATTAATTAAATTAGGAGTACAAACCAGTAATACAGGGATTTTCATTAGTGATTCCTGAAAATGTCCTTTATGTAGAAGAGTACCATGAAGTAGACTTCACTGTGCATATTTATTTGCTGCAAAACATAATGTCTTTTTAATAAACATGATTTAGTTTGTGTACCAGCCATATTCTATGGAAGAGATATTGTGTTACCCATATAAATTTTAATGTCCATCGTCCATACATCACTTCTGTATGTATATCAAATATTTTGTGTCACCTTGGTAAGATTTGAAGGTCCTTGTGGATTGAAACCAAATTTAGTATGCAGTTTTATATCAGGAAGATCTAGGTCAATCTTTCCCATTTTCTCTGCAAGTATTTTACAGAGTTTTGGTCATTGTTTGACTTGGAACGTTAACATTTCATTTTGTATGAAGGTTGCACCTTATTGGTAGGAAATCTTTTCTTTGGACCCATTTCTAGTCTACCATGTAAATTTCAGTAAAATAAAGTTTATTTTAGGACCCTGCATTAAGATGCAAGACATCTGTTGTATTAATAATACTGTCCTTTCCTGCCCATGACATCTGTCAAACCTTCTGTTCAACAGCTCCTTGTAACCAGAATTGCACTTTTTCTTATCAGTGTTAAATCTCCACTACATTATTTTCTTGTAACCAGAATAACCCACAGGCAATTAAACATGTTCAGATTCAGTTTTTATATATAGTCTCATTGTCATAAAAGTGCCTTTTATGGGTTTTGTCTCATAACTCTTTTCAAAAGAGTTATGGGCCTTGACAGTTAACTTCATATCATCAGATGGTGTTTTGCTTGTAACCTGCATAATGAGAAAACCATTCAACATATTCCTAGGTAAATCTTTAGTTTCATTTAGAGGAGTTATGGTCCTCTGATTACTTATCCTTCTGACTTTGGAAAATGACCATCAAAATTTGTTGGATTTAAACTAAGTTTGGTTTTGTTGCTCCAGATTGATGAACTATTTAGTAACTTTGAGTTCCAACTTTCTATTACATCATCTGCAAGAGTTATGGCCCATTGCTCATCATCCTACTTTCTACAGGATAACTTTACTAAGCTCTTTTATATATCAGCCAATTTGGCATGCTGCTTTATGAGAATTTGAATTTGAAATCCAGTATTCCACAGTTCATTTACAGAAGTAATGCCCTCTGACTGCCCATCCTCCTGACTTTGTTTTTTTTTTTTTTTTACTAATCCTTGAAAGATTTCAAAACAAATTTGGTATGGAGAGTTACATTGATGAGACCATTAAAAAGTTCAGTTTTAAGTATTCCAGATTATGATAAGAGGGTAATGGCCCTTGAATCCCTAAACTCCAAAATTTTCTTTCTACAACATAAGTTTACTAAGGACAATCATATTTCAGTCAAACTTATCATATTTCTTCACACTGATAATACCTTGAATGAGCTGAATTTCTCTTTTCAATGTCCTCATTTAGAAGAGTTATTGCCCTTGAATGTCCATCTCCCAGCTTTGGTTACCCCAAGAGACATTCTTGTTTTTAAATCCCTGCCAAGTACATTGTATGCATCTATAGCTACTAGCTATAATTTAGAGCAGAAGTCCATTCTCAGGTGGAATGTTACAGCTGTTTTTGTAAAATTATTTTTTCCAGATTGAATTAACCACAGGATAAACATAATTTCAAGATGATGGATGGAGAAGCTTGTTCCCCCATGATGGAAAATAATCATCAGATGGAAGAAAAGACTGTACCAATATCCTGTGTAAGAAAGGTCAGTGTAAAAAAAAGAACCAGAATTTGTATCCAGTAAATATATGTTTTATGAGTATATATTATGCGGCTATTGTAATTTTTTTCATTTTTCACAAAAACAAACATGGGTAAAACTACTGTTTTCTTTTCTTTGTGCAATTTTTTTTTCAAATTAACCTAGTGATGTAAATGCACAGTAGGAAAAATGCTTTGTTTGATCCACTCCTGAAACAGATGTACATATTTTCTGCATGCAGTAGTTATCCAGTAGTTGGCCAAATTATTGTTGTAAATATCAAGCATTGGCAATGCATGTATACCACATGCTGAGTAAGGTCATGGAAAGTTTCTGATGAAAGGTGCACCTGCTAGGTCACTTTAATGGAGTATTATCATCAACATTTATATGAAATCCAGGGTTATCAAATAAAATTGCCATGATGATGTCCCACCCTTTATTATGACCCCAGGCTGGCCAGTCCTAATACTAACCTCCTAATGCTGAGGGCCTAGTGAGACAGATGTTGATACCATTTTTATAAGTGTTTGGTATGACTTGACTGGGATTTGAACCCGTGACCTCCTGCATCTGAGGCAGATGTTCTAACCACTTTGCATCATGTAATTTTAACGGGAATAAACAAGTTCACTAGAAGCCTACACATAGTAATATGAGGTCACTAAAAGTGTACACACATTAATAGCCTCATAGATAAGTAGCAAATTTAGTAATCCTGGCAGATTAGCAACATCAATGCCACACTTTAGTAGTATAACAGATGAGATAGGATTCAGATATCCATTATCCTCCCTTTTTGAAGTTTGTCACAAGTGTCATTTCAGACCAGACAAAATTTACTACATGTTTAATAAGCAATTTTCTCACACTACACAAAGGAGAAGGAGTGCTTTGATGTCATCTAACCATCTAGTCATGCATTTGTCTTCCCCATAATGGTCAAATAAATGGAGTATTCTATATTTTAATGTTATCCGTTATCTTGCCATGTTATGCTTGATATTACGGCTCTTGTTTCTCTGTATGATTATAACTAATTTTTATCTCATCAGACAATAAGATTGAGGTATGACCCCATATCTGGATATTGTCCACCAGTCTGTGAACATTTGTTTGATACTATTTGAAGATTATGGTTTGTGATTAGTTATAAATAGACATAAAATAAAGCATTATGTCATCGTTATATTATGATCTGATTTTGGTCAACTTGGAGTATGTCTTTATATCAACAAAATGGACAAAACTGATAATGAGCAGAGGTTGTGCTGCCATGCAAAGTGAGTGATTAAGTCAGCTAAAGATGAAAACTTCACTTTTTCTGTTAGGAAAGCAAAAACAATTTTGTCCTGTGATTTGATTATTTTTTTTTATCTTTTAATATTTTTTATGTACAATAAATTACAGCAGTTTATGACTTTTGAGATACCACTTTGCTATAGCCAGAAAGTTCTCATAGTGTAATGTTATGGAACACATGGTACTAATTGTATGGAAAAATGGGAACCATTCTAGAAATGGGTCAAGGTGAAATGGAATTCACTGGTTTGGCTGGATGAGATTGGTTGATAATGAAAGCTAAATTTTAGTAATAAGTAATCATTTGAGAGCTTAATTGATAGTTGTAACTGAAAAAAAAGACATTGTTTTATTGATGGAATTTTAGTCCTTTAACAGTCTTGAGTTTGGAACACTCATTACTGAAATTAGTACCTGACTGGTGCAGAATTTAAAGCATATGTTTCAAACACACAGAAAATCCAGAAAATGCCATGGTTTTCATGTCTTTTTCTACACAGAAGCTGGCATCCAGGATGCATCTATACTGATAAATATAAGTTTGATCATGAGCACACACAAATTTAAAGTTATTGAATTTTTAAGAT